TGCTGGGCCCTGCAGGCTGGGCTCCCCGAGCAGCCCTGTGGTCCAGACTGGTCCCGACGTCCCAAAACACGAAGAGGGGAGAACTGAAGACCTCACTTCAAGAAGTACCGTGTGGAGCAAGACTCTCGCCCGCTGCACCGGGGGTCCGGCGGGCCCCGCTCAGCGGCAGCCAAGCCCCAGAGCACAACTACAAGCCATGGTTCCTGACTCCAGTAGTGGGAAGCAGCTTGCACAGCGCGGCGAGGTCAGGAGGGGACACTACTCTAACCAGGACTGTTAACATGATTGGCCCAAAGCGACACTGTAAGCGGAGCTCAGCTGCTTGGCAGAGCCGTGACTCGAACACACATTGCTGACTACTGGCTCTGGAGGGGCGATGTGGGTCGGCCGCGGGGACCCCAGGCCCCTGCCCTCCCACATGGAGACCCAGGAGGGCGAGGGGAGGCAGCCCCATGGCCCCGCACATCACCCAGGCGCTGCCTGGGGTTGGCATCTCTTCACGACACCCTTTCGTTCGCTGCAGCGCTGGTGACCAGCATCTCCAGGCAGTCTGGAAACGGGACCGCAGCGCAGGGCGGAGGGGGTGCAGAGCCCAGGCTGAGCATCCTCCTAGGAGCTGCAGGCAGCTGGGTCACCCCTGGGCTACCCCCTCTGAGCATCCTCCTGGAGCCACAGACAGTTGGGTTCCCCCCCCCAGGCTGCCCCCTTGCCGGAGCGTGGCGAGGGTCCAGGCCGCAGCACCCGGGTGTAGGGGCAGAGCCCTGCCCGTTGGCACATCCCAACCCCGCAGGGACCCAGCACCTCTGAGGCAAGATACTCCCCCAAGCTGGGGAGAGGCACTCGGGGGCTGCTCAGTGGGAGACCCATCTGCCCCCGGCTCCACCGCTTGGCACTCGTCGCACCAGGGGGACCCTGCCCAGGCCCTCCAGGCCCTGGCACCGTGCCCCAAGGGACCTGCCAGGGCCTCAGGGAGGGGGAACCTGGCCCCTGCTGGCCCTGGGTACCCCCGCTCTGCCTGCCCGGGGAGACCCCGCTGTGGGCTCCAGCCCCCTCGCTCTGCCCTCAGCAATGGGCCCCGGGGGGCTGCCTCTCTCCCTCCTCTCCCAAAAAGCGCAGGCGCGGGGCAGAGCCTTCTGGGAATCGAGGTGGGCGTGTTGCGGCCTTGCGCGGTAGCGGGCG